GAATGAAAAATCTCCCAAATGCCTCTGAGATTTCTTTAAAGTTAATGGTGCTAGGGAAAGAAAGTAGAGCAAAGGTCATCCCCAGGACCCCATCTGCTTGCGTTTACAATCATAGAGACAAATTGTTTAATAATCAACGCGCTGAGCAGCCCTGATAATTTATGCTAATAGTCACGTACGATGTGAAACAAGAAACAGCTTAATCCTGTTCCCTGCAGCCTGTGCCTCAAACCCCCTCCCTTTGGCATGAAAGGCTTTCGAGCACGAGGCCCCTTCTTTGTCCCTCTCACAAAGTGGAGCTTGCTCCTGATCCTGGTTACCTGGTAACACGCGTCTAACACAGCCCCAGGCTTCTAATGGAGCTGGAATTTCAACCACGGTGAATTTTCTAAGAATTCAAGACATCCAGAGCACACTGAAGCCGCTGGGGCTCACAGCTTTGGAGAGCACTGGCAAGGGACCCAAACACAATACCATCTTGCTGTCTGCTGAGTCCCAGCTCAAACCCTCTTCCCAATGTTAACAAGTAATTCAGGGTGCACACACCAAGCAACCCAACCTTTTAAAGCAATGACATTAACAATGACAATAACACCCCTAATAATCATTATTGAACAAGGAGCCACGGTAGTGCTGTAGTTTAGGAATTGGCTGCTAACCACGTGGTTAGCAGTTGAACTCACCTGTCGCTCCACAGGAGAAAGATGAGGCTACCTGCTTCGGATCCTTCAAGACGCCTCTCAGATGCTTCCCTGCTCCTTTTAGGAGCCTAATTGTTGTTACTGGCTGCCATCTAGTCAGCCCCTGACTCATGGTGACTGCACGCACTGTGATCGGCTTTCCTTGGCTGACATTTTCAACAGTATATTGCCAGGCCGTTATTCCTAGTCTGTCTTAGTCTAGAAGCTCCTTGTCCACTAAAACCTGTTCAACTTCACAGCAACATGTAAACTGTCACCAGCAAACAGATGGTGGCTACACATGAGGGACACTGGCCAGGAACCAAACCTTGGTCTCCTACATGGAAGGCCAAGAATCCTGTCATTGAACCATCGGGAACCATTCTCTACAGCTAAGGAGCGGGACAAGCAGCACACCACAGGGACAAACAGGAAAGCTGATCCAGACTGGGAAACCCTCAAAATTCCATCACATAAACGCCAGTCCATTTGTGGCCCCTTTAAAATTAGACTGTCAGCAGGCTACAGGTGTATGGCACTGGTCTCAAGAGAAGCAGAGAAGCCCAGGTTATAGCCCACCTCAGCCAGGAACTAGCTGTGTGGCCCTGCAGAATTCTCTTCTCCACGCTTTGGTTTTTCCCTTCTATAAAATGGAAGTGAGAGCTGGCTAGAGTAGCTGTAAAGCTCGAGTCATAACATGGCTGAATATGTGATTCCACTAGGAAGAAACAATTCACGCATGGCAGCATAGTGTGTCTTCGATAAAAGGTTATCAATAAAATGATTACAGGTAGTCCCCATCTTACAACATATACGAGTTACAATGAACCACACATGTTAGGCCATTAAAACAACAACAACAAAAATGATTTGTGACCTTATCCAGAGAAGCAGCAACACCAGAGATGGAGGCAGATATGAGGACATGGAGAGATAGAGCAGCTGAGGACTCTAGACTCATGGAAAGAGAAAGGCTGTGTGTTGGCGGCCAGGAGGCAGGCTTGCAGAATGTGCCCTTTGGTTGTTTAAATGATTATATATTCCTGAGTGTTTCTCTGTACATCCCCACCCCACCCCCCAAAAGAAACAGAGGGAATAGAAGCAAATACTGTTGAATGGGGATTGTAATCATTGCAATGAAACGATGAAGTGTAAAGCCAATGTTCTCCCATGTAAACTATCACTTAATTCACATTAAAAAAAAAAAAATCTGTGTTTTTCTATTCATGTATTAAAATAGATCTGTAGGGTTATATGAAATGTTTCCAAGCCTCAAAGAAAAATAAAGATAGGATTTATAAAAATACTGATGATAAAAGGCAGTAATAATAAAACTCAGGAGCTCTGTTGTTACAAGTCAGGTTGCTAACCTCCAAGATCAGCAGTTCGAAACTACCAGTGGTTCTGCAGGAAAAAGATTAGGCTTTCTGCTCCCGTAAAGATTTACAGTCTTGGAAAGCTCGTACAGGGTCGGTATGAGTCAGAATCAATTCCACGGCATATAACCACCACAACCAATAACAAAAATTAAAAAACAAAGGAGGTATTCGACTTACCTCAGAACCAACTTGCAAAAGAGTCATTGGAACGGAATCCCGTTGTATGCTGGGGGTCACCTGTACTCTCACTATTACACATTTCAGGGTGTCTCAGGGCCAAGGAGGAAGGGCCATCATTTAGATCCAAACCCACTGTTTCCAAACGCCCTTCAGAGCAATGTGTGAAAACACTTCCTGACTCTGTGAGGAACCCAATAAATATTTACCGAGGCCTCATTCCTCTAAAGGCAGGCGGCTCAGTTATTGAAGGAGTTGGTGAGAAGCTGGATTTTATTACCAGTGTTGAAACAGAACAGCTGCTTCAGCAACTCAGTCTCTTTTCCTTCCCGCAGGGCCCCAAAGGGCATTGTTAAAAAGTGCTCCCGCTGCGTGGTCCAAATAAAGGATGGCACTGGGGCAGCTTGCAATGAAGGGCTGCCTTGGCTAGGAAAAATAACGCCCCTGTCCGCACCTTATGATTTACTAGGACACAAAAGCAAGGGCCACACAGTGTGTGTGGCTCAGAACAAGAAACTGTTGCAGGAGAGCAGCGACCAGGTCTGTGGTGGATGACCCAAATTCTGGCAGAAGCACAGCTCTTGGAGATCTGGTGCCTGTCACTAATGGGATCGTGACAATCGGCTTCTGAATTGCCTCCATTTGGCCCCTGCACATCTTTACTCTGGGGGCCTGTGCCTGGAGGGGGGGGAATCAGAGTGGAGGAGCTGTCACATTTACTTGTCATTTGGTAATTTTCAATGAATTAGGGGTATGGGGTTCCTATCTGCCATCTGGCCTCACTCTGGTAACTATGGCAACCGCCATCTGCCTGACTTAGAACTATCAAGTCCTGTCCCAAAAGAAGACCAAGCAGGGTGTAAGGAACCTGGAGCTGTCCAGGACAAGTTCTCTGCCCTCACTGGGTCTGTCTCCTCTTTATAGGAATATGTTTGCTCTAAATGTCCTGTGGTGTCTTTTTTTTTTTTTTTAGAAAGAACACTCCAGGGAGACACTGTCTGAGTCCAAGAGCACCGTACAAATTCACAGATTCTGGGTACGCCATTTCTTATGAATCTCACAGACAGATCTGACAGTGCTACCTGCCTTGAGAGAAAGCAAACTGCTTGTGAATGAACTGCTGAGGAAAGCAGAATGTAAACCATGTCACAGGAACAAAAAGAAGGAAGGAGAGAATGAACTGTTTCAATGTCACGGGGCAGAGAAAAGGTTCAAGGTAGAAAGGGCTTCAAGGCCATTTCATAGGACTAGCATGACCCAGAGAGGGAAAGGAACTGGCCTAAGGTCACACAGAGAACTGGCAGGACACCAACCAGCTCTCTCTTCCAGGTGCAGCACCAGTTGGAAATGGCCAACAGTGATGGCCTGTGCTCTTGAGGCTGCCTCAATAGGGCATGCATTGTTTTGTTTTCCCAACAGGAAGCTTCCTGCCCAGTCTCCTGGACTCTACATCTATCTGGAATGCTTGAGGGAAATTGCACACTAGATACTTCTTAGGGCAAAAGGTCCCAATGAGCCAGGTCTGTATGGTCAAATCAATTACTCACTGAGGGTCCTACCCCATACCCAGGCTTCCTAGTTGGAGTTGAAGTCAGTGCACTGATTTAGATCTTTAAGTGTGGACTAGGTCCCAGGCCCAGGTCAGAACAGAACTCTCCCTCAAACGTGAACTTCAGTATCTAAATCATGGGCTACAGGCTCACTAACTCTGAACTCTCAGAATTGTTGTTAATTGAAAGTCATTGGTTTATTCTCTTTTCTTTTTAAAATTATCCAGAGCTGGCTTTACAGTCATGTTCAGAAAGCTTAAGTTCCTAGAACACTAGAAATTCATTCAAAAATTTCTTAACGTTCTATTCCTTTACATATGGTGGGCCTTTCCAAATTATGTAAACTGAAGGATAAGCAATGGACTAATAACCTCAAGATTGGCAGTTCAAATCCACCGGCCACTCCTTGAAAACCCTACACAGGGTTGCTATGAGTTGGAACGGATTCAATGGCACCCAAAAACAGTACAATGCCTCTGAGAGCGCCAGTCTTTTCTGAGTTTAGGTCTCCAAATGTCTTACCTGGTCACCCTCAGGTCCCCCAGCTGAGCCCCCAGTCTGGAATTCCTATAGCACCTTCCTCCTCCCTCTTCCCTCTCTCTCTATTCAACAACCATACCAGCCTAGGCCTGGTGATGCCAGCCCCAGCAGGGAGCTCACCAAAGGACACAGAATCCCCACCCCCAAACTCCCAAACATGTCAGGTTTGAAAATAACTGCTCCAGTAGGTACTTGGTGGTGGTAGTATCCCTCCGATTCAGTTCGGATTCACCCATCCTCTATAGGATTTTTCAGGCTGTAAATCTTTACAGAAGAAGAAAGCCTCATCTTTCTCCTGTGGAGCGGCAGGCAGATTCAAACTGCTGACCTCAAAGTTAGCAGCCTAACTCGTAACCCACTATGCTACCAAGGCTCCTTCCAGCAGGTACTTCTTGTTTTTGTTAGGGGTCATCGAGTCGGTACCGACTCATAGCGACCCTATGCGCAACAGAACGAAACATGCCCAGTCCTGGGCCAACCTCACAATTGTTGCCACTCTAGGGTCACCAAAATTCCGACCTGCTTTGAGTGAAGGTCCTGGATGCGGATTCCCATCCCCATCTTCCAGGGCACGAAAGAAACTAACAATATTGCTTTCGAAGGAGAAAGTGAGGCCCAGCAGCCGCTGTTTAGGCCTGTGAGGTTCTGCTTTGGCCAACCCCAGCCAAACTCACCGAACTCGCAGGGGCCATCGCGCGCCTTGTGCAGGTGGCGGAGGTGAGCGCGGGGCGCGTGGCGGGCGCGCAGCCGCAGCGCACAGACGCTAGGGTAAGAACGGCCGTCGGAGCCACAGACGGCGCCGCGCTGCGCGCACACACAGAGCCCGGTGCCCTCGGGCGCCGCCCCGGTGGCGCGGCTGGCGCACACTAGACCAGGACCACATCGTGCACCGGCCCGACCCCCGCAGCTCGCGCCCTCCGCGCCTAGGCACAGAGCGCAGCAGCCGCACTCGTCGCGCGCCGCGATCCCGGGCGCGGGGCAGCGCGCGGGGACCAGGCAGTGCTCCGGACGGCACGGACCGCACTCGGGGTGTCGGCCGCCTGCGCCGTGGAGTCCGAGGCTTGCGGCCAGCTGCGGTAGGAGCAAAAGCAGCAGCGGGAAGAGCGCTGGAGATCGCGGCATGTTCTACTCCGGGTCGTCAGTGGCGCCTGTTCTCCGAGCTCCGCTCTGTTCTCCGCGCGGCACAGCCACTCCGCCCGCCCCGCGGCCGCTGATTGGCCGGGTCTGCACCGCGGGGCGCCCGCAGAAGGCTGCCAGAGCCCAGAGCAAGCGGGTCGGTGTGCTCTCCGTATGGGCCACGGCTCGGAGCTGAAGGGATATCCTGAGACCCGCTGTCCTACACTCTTTGGAGTCTTGGGGAAACCGAGACCCAGTTGGGTCAGGAACTAAACGGAGGACACTATGATAGATCCGGGACTGGATGTTCCAGGATCCAAGACTGGCTCCAAATATGCCCCCTTAATCCTCACAGAAGGATGCACTGTTTTATTTTATTTTGCATTTAGCAGTTTTCACGTTTAGTTTTGAAAAGGACTCTCGTTGCTATGGAGTCGATTCTGGCTCGTAACGACCCTATAGGACAGAGTAGAACTGCCCCATAGGGTTTTCTAAGCTGCTATGGCTCTGTGTGTTAATGTGCTGGGCTGCAAGGTCGGTGGTTCAAGCTCATCAGCTGCTCCTTGGAAACCCTATATAGCGTCGCTATGAGTCGGAACCGACTTGCTGGCACTTAACAGCAACTATCTTTAGGGGATTATTCGTCTGCCAAGCTTTCAGTTAGCAACCTGGCTTAACCGCTATGCCACTAGGGTTCTTTGCGGAACTCCTGGAGCTGGAGAAAGTCCTTGCAGCATGGGAGGACCAGCTATAGCGTCTCTGGATGTTGTCCATTTTATCTCTCAAGCCCAGTTCCTTCCCAGTTTGCAGTTTCCTAAGGGGAGTCACAGCCCAAAAAAGGAGTCCCTGCAGAGACCACAGTATATGGCGGTCAGAGAAGGGTCAGCTGCTTGCTTGCACCAGCTCTCCCCATATAAATCGCTGCAAAGAGCAAGGATGATCAGGCCTCCTTGGGGATGGAGAGGTGGTGGGGAGGATTATATACAATTATCTGGGTAACACACTCAGCATAGCTCTTAGTATTTATTAATGATTACTTTCAACCAGGAGACTGCTGCCTTTACCTGGAATGGCCTTTTTTAAAAGTGTTCATAGTGTGACTCTTTCACCCCATCCTATGAATCTCTCCTAAGAAAATAATCACTATGGGTAAAGACTCCTTCCTGGGCCTGGGCACTCTAGCAAACATTTGGAAACAACCTAAATGCCTACCAGTAGGCAATGATTAGATTAATCATTGTGTATTCAACAATGGAGGCTTATGTGGGCCTTGAAAGTAAGATAGGCGATATAGGTTAATTTAAATGATAAATGTTGATAAATGGATTATTTAGTAGTGAAAATGGCAACTATGAAGTGAATGTCTAGTATGGTGGCATATTTGTAAATATATGGATGTGTATGTATGCAGAAATTGAAGATTGTCAAATAATATGAAGGAAATGCTTAAAATAAAAACACAAGATATGAGAACAGAAGAGATTTATCAAACAAATTCCATGTTGCTTCTCAGGGATGTCCTTCCTATAAGTTCAAACTTTCTAATGATCATGGCTGTTCATCAAAGAGAGAATGGGCTGTTCCAGAGGTAGTGAGCTCCCCATCAGTGGAGGAATTCAAGGGCAAGTCATGTCAAGGAGAGTGTGTGTAGGGTGTCACAGTTTCGAATAGGGGGTTAGGTTGTTATTGTTAGCTGCCAGGTTGGTTCCCACTCATAGTGACCCTTTGCACAACAGAATGAAACACTGCCCAGTCCTGAATTATCTTCACAATTGTTAACACTTGAGTTCATTGCTGCTTCCACTGTGTCAATCCATTTTTGGGGGGTCTTCCTCTTTTTCAACAACCCTCCACTTTACTGAGTATGATGTCTCTCTCCAGAGACTGGTCCCTCCTGAATATGTCTGAAGTATGAGAGACGAAGTCTCATCATCCTGACTTCTAAAGACGATGTTCACTTCTTCCAACACAAATGTGTTTATTCTTCTGGCAGCCCATGATATTTTTACTATTCTTCTCCAACACCGTAACTCAAATGCATCAATGCATCTACTGTCTTCCTTATTCATTGTCCAACTTCCATATGAGGCAATTGAAAATGCCATGGCTTGGGTCAGTCACACCTTAGTCTTCAAACTGACAACTTTGCTCTGGAACACTTTAAAGAGTCTTGTGCAGAAGTCCTTAAATCTCTCAGATTGAGCCATGATTCCCATAGTATAGTACATGATGCTGAGACCTGGCCTGGACAAATCCTGCCTGTGATTAGCAATAAATACATACAGGAATGATTTGCCTGCTTTTTATGCAAACAATGAGGAAGCAGTAACTGAGAGGGTGTCATTACGTGAAGGTAAGACAGGTGGGGATACACAGCTGAAAGGGGAACATTTACATATGATCTACATGCCTTTGAAGTGGTAGGGAGTGCATCATGTCTATGCATGGCAGCTCTGGGAATTAAAAGCAGGAGACTCATTTCCCAACCCCGAGCCTGTGGTATTGAAGTCCGGGTGCCTGGAAGGAGAAAATATTCTAAAGCAGAGAAGGTGATTAGTGTCCTTGTCTTTTTTCCTCTCCTTTCTAAAGTGTGTGTTTGATATATATGCAGTAAATATAGCATAAAGCAATTGCCATTGCAACACGTACATTAATTCAGTGACATTAATTGCTTCCATTATGTTGTGCAATCACCACAACATATTCAGTTTCTTAACAAAAACTCTGTGCATTTTACTGTGGAAGGAAGCCCCACAGCCCAGCGGATGTGCTAGCTCTTTTACCTCTGTTAGTCTCCAGAGTGCCAATTAATACTGTGGGCTACACTTGTGTTTCCCGTAGGACAAAGGAGAAAAGAGGGAACCAAATTCTCCAGGCGGGAAAGGAATTGAGGTGCCTCTGTTGTCCAGCAGGTGGCAAACTCCCAGCAACCAGGTCCTCCAAGAGAGTAAGCCACAGTGATGGCTATGATTTTCCAGGTTCACTTCTCACAGCCTGCAGGAAGGGGAGGCTGGCTAATGCCGGTTCAGAGGGAATACACACACAAATGCAGCAGCTGCTGAAGTGAGTGTGAAGGCCCAATCCCTTCATTCCCCCACAAACATAGAGATGAGTGGCAGACGATCCCTGTTCTTTAGAAGTTTCCATGCAGAGAAGAGGAACTATGCAAGCAAAGGGCCCTCCACAAACCGGCCAGGGATTTGAATCTCAAGCTTAATGTTCAGATCATTCATAGATGGCCCCCAGCCAGGTTGCAGGACCTGAAATCCTTGTCTCCCCCCCTCTGTTCCTGAACAGCCAAGTAGACACAGCCGTGTTTCTAAGGGGAAGCACAGTGAAACAGTTGTTATCTTTGTTGTTAAGTGCCATTGAGTCAGTTCTAACCCATAGCAACCATGTCTGTATAGGGTTTCTGAGGAGCAGCTGGTGAGCTTGAACCTCCAACCTTGCAATTCAAACCAACTTTGCAGTCCTGCGCATTAACCCAGAGCAGGACTCTTGTGAAACAAACATTGGGTGGGACTTACGGTTGTTGTTGTTAGGTGCATTACATGAAGTTATGGAAGGTGGAGACTCAGCAACTCTTAGCCACCCAATGCACAACAGAACGAAACACTGCCTGGTCCTGTGCCAACTTCACAATTTTTGCTACTTTTGCGTCCATTGCTGCTGCCATTGTGTCAATCCATCTAGTTGGGGGTCTTCCTCTTTTTCTCTGACCCTCCACTTTATCAAACATCATAGCCTTCTCCAGGGACTGTCCCTCCTGATAAGATGTCCCAAGTGTGAGAGACAAAGTCTTGCCACTCTGGCTTCTAAGGAGCACTCTGGCTGTACTTCTTCCAATACAAATCTGTTTGCTCTTTTGGCAGTCCATGGTACTTTTAATATTGTTTTCCAACACCATAACTCAAATGCATCAATTCTTCTAAGGTCTTCCTTATTCACTGTCCAACTTTCACATGCATATGAGGTTATTGAAAATACCATGGCTTGGGTCAGGCGCACCTTAGGCTTCAAGCTGACATCTT